GGGAAGCTACTTACAGTAGGACCAGCAGGAAGCAGAGCAGGACCAGCGACATAATTTGCAGGGCCCTATGCAGAATGAAAACCCCACTTCTTGTTCAGACACTATGAAGAGTTTCAGGAGGGTGACAGATCATGAAGCCAAGCTGGGGGCCCTTGTAAGCACAGGTCACATGCCCATGCAGCCACCCTGAAGCAGGGTCTAGGGAAAGTGCGCAAAGGGTGAGGCCACATGGAGGGGCAGCCACGGGGGTCTTCTGACCTAGAGGTCTCCCGTGCACACACAGGTGAATAAAGCAGCCCTCCCTGGGGCTTGGCCAGCGTGCTCCACTGAGGCTTTCCCCAGGCACCCGTCCACCTTGAAAACCAGCACCCTCAGAATGGCCAGGTCTGGCCTTATTTGGAGGAGGAAGACATTTAAATTTCGTCTCGGCTTGGGGGAGCTCGAAATGCTGGGAAAAGATGTCATGCTTGGAAACCACGAGGGAAAAGGGCCTCTGGAGCTGTTTCTTTAATTTACAGACCTGACAACCTAGGACAGGGCCCTTTGGCAAGTACTAAGGGTGATGGCCCAGAAAAGAATCCGAGTATTAAGGACGGGCTGGGCTGGCTCTGTCCTTCAGCCCCCTGCCCGGGGGTGCGTGAGGTTGGGAAGCTTGATGAATCCCTTTCACCAGAAGGATCAAAACGAGCTTTCAGAGCAGCATAAGCCAGGGGTAATTTTTAGCACAGACGTAACTTTCTAGTTCCTTTTTCCTACCCCTCATTTCTCAGTTGCCTTTAAAGAGGCCGTGGAGAGCTGAAAAACAAATCCAAGTCTGAAGAGACAAGTGCAAAAATGCAAACTGGGCAAGGGGACAGAGCCGCCAGCTGGACAAAATGTGCCTGGAAAACAGCATCCTTCGCTTGGCAGGTGCCGGGGATTTATGGTTGAATTTTGCAGACGTTTCATCACGTTATGAGCCAGCTCAGGAGACCCTCATAAAACTCTTATATGAAAGAACAAACTAGCTGATAAAAGTCAGCTGCTGCCTATAAACGCGCTGTGGGGATTGCAATTGAGTAGAGGATTTATTAGTCTGGGCTCTCCGTGCAAATTAAGTACTACTGCACACGTCTGAAGCAGGAGCAGAGCCTGAGCGCAGAGGGCTCCCAGCTCACACGATGGCCATCCAGCCACGCTGGCTCCCTCCCGCATCATATACTCCATGACAGACCAGAGGGAAGATGCCACTGAAATTAAGTTGCCGGAGACCTGCTCTTACATTCATTCCCCTTTCTCTCCCACAAGAACCCACAAAAAGAATCAGTCACTCTACATCCACTGCATTCCCTGCACATCCTTTAAGAAAGCACTTCTCACGATGGGCTCAGGCATCTGTCTGGCGTCTCTTATTTAACTTTGCATCACCAGTAAGGGGTTCTGTGCTGGGCACATGGGGAGGCCTCTGAATGAGCACATGCAGATGTGCCGGGCTGCAAGGCACCATTTACCGAAGTTATTACCATCCACTCCAAACAGCAGGAAGGTGCGTGTTGGGTTGGAGGACGGACGAGCTAGGGGCTGGGAAGCAACAGAAAGGGGAGAAATGATGTGATGAGGACGTTATTAAGGCTAGCTTCTTCCCCCAGAGAAGGGCAATCTTTGTGGCTCCTCTACTTAGTTCTGTCTGAGCTTTTTCTCAGGATTAGGTTATTTCTTAAAGAAAATGTGGGATACTTGATAAGAAAGGCTGACACCTAGACCCTCTCCACACATACTGGGTCAGCATCTCTGGAGTTGGGCCCTAATATGCTGTGCCAGACTCAGAAAAAATGACTTTCCTTTGCACTATGTAGAAACCAAGAAGGAGCCTTCCAGGAATGATGGGGAGGAGGGAGAGTGCCTGGGAGGGGTGGCCTACTGCCCCTCTCCCCCCGCACACACCACTGGCTTTCTCCTGCCAGCCCCTGGCAGAAAGGGCAAAGTGTAAGACTGGAAGACAGCCCCAGGATTCACTCCAGCCCTCCTGGCTATGGGATCAGAAGGGAGGGTAGCTGGCAAGGCTGCAGCAGCCTGGAGAGCCTGGATGCCTGCAGGCCACTGGCACGCAGGACGGGGGCAGTGCTGCCTTTACCTCTGCTGTTTGGAGGACTCCTGTCCCACGCAGTGGGGGTGTTCAGGAAACCCAGCCCTTGCCCCAGCTGAGTAGGTGTCAGGAATGCTTTTGCCTTCTGTGGCAGAGGAAACAGTGGTGTAAGGGAAAGACCCCTCTCACCAGAGCCAAGAAAACCCTGGTGCAAACTCTGAAAGTCACTGAAAACTGTGGGCACTCAGAAAATAGTCACAGGCATACCTGTTTCACAGCAGAGCTATGCCCTTAGTAGGTGACTGATAACTCAAGAGAACTTCAACCCCTTAAATGCCTAGAAAAGCCCTCACAAACCTCCTCTCACTTAAAACTTACAACCCTGCGAGGACAAATATCATCTCCATTATACAGACGAAGAAACAAACTTAGAGGGAAAATGACTTACCCAAGATCATTTGTGCTGAGACCTGAACCGAGGTCTGGGTTACTTGCAATTCAACAAACTTCCCCTGAGCCGATTATCCACACACTAGCTCCTTTCTCTCATGCCTGAGCCTGCTCCTCCAAATGTACACTCTCCCACCTTGTCACGGGAGAAGGAATTAGTAACAACCCAACACTTGAACAAGTTGCAGATGGTTCCTGGCCCCTATCATGATGATTAGTCAAACAATACAATCACCATAGAGCCTGGACTCTCCTTGGGTGGAAAGAAGCCCTTTTCTTCAGAGCCCAGGATCCCGCTGGCTTTGAGAAACCCCTACCGTGGCTGAGAACAGTCTCGAGGTTGATTTCTAAATGTAGATGGGGCAGAGACAGGAAAGAAACCTAAATTCATTTCATCCCAACAGACTGTCTCACTGACAGGGAATAGGGTTCTGAACAGAGTCTGTGTTCCCAACTGCGGGAAACAGAAAAGAACTCACATTTGCTATCTCAGCCCAAGGCCAGCGGCACAGTTGGAGGAGTGTTAGAAGGACTCCCGTTATGACGATTCTCCCTAAGTTAATTTCTAAATGTAATGATTCCAGTAAAAATACCAACAGAATTTTTTTTTTCCCCTATTGGGACTGAGTATATGGGATGGGATTAGCTAACTGGAAAAAGGCATCACGAGTAGGAGAAGGAGTAGAGGGAGGGCTACTGATACGTAACAGACATTAAGACTTTGAAAACAGCCTACAGGTCCACCAGTAAGGGGCTAGGTAAATAAATGATGGTATGCCCATACAACAGAGAACTCTGCAACTGCTTTAGAAAAAATTAAAGCTCTTTATGTATTCACACACAACAATATTCCACGATATAGTAAATAGAAAAAAACAAGGTACAAAACTGGGTATATAGTACTTTACAATTTGTATAAAATTGTGGAGAATATACAAACACATATTTGCTTGTTGCATTAGTTATATCAATTACTGTGGAACAAATTACCCCAAAACGTAATAACTTAAAACATTTATTTTCTGTTTCCACGGGTCAGGAATCCGGGCACCGCTTAGCTGGTTGTCTTTGGCGTAGGTCGAGGTTGTGGTCAAGCAGTTAGCTGGGGCTGTAGTCTCACCCGAAGTCTCAACTCGGGGAGAGGATCTGCTTCGAAACTCACTCAGGAGGCTGCTGGCAGGCATCGGTCTCTCACAGGCTCTCCACAGGGCTGCCCCCAGCACTGCAGCTGACTCTCCCCAGGGTGAGTGATCCAAGAGACGGAGCCACAGCATCCAAGATGAAAGCTGCAGTCTTTGCATAACCTAGTTTCAGAAGTGACATCCCACCACGTCTGCAGTATTCTGTTCCCTGGAAACAAACCTGTAAGTCCAGCCCACACCGAAAGAGAAGACATGTATATGGGTGTGAGATTGTTGGGCTACCTTAGAGGTTCCCCACCACTGTGCTTACATAGGCAAAGAATATTTTTGGAAGAATATTAAACATTGGCTGCCTCCAGGAAAGGGATCTGGTAACTGGGGGCGGACTTTTCAACGTATGCAGCGACACACACCACTTGCACACAGCGCACTTTGCTTAGCTGTGTTCCTGTGCGTGGAATGCCCTGCGCTCCTCTCAGCCCCAAGTAAAGTCAGCCTCAGCCCTAACTGAGCTGTCACCATGAAGCATTCTCACCGGCAACTAGTTATCACCTCTCTTTCCCCCAAAGGATTCTGTTTTTACCTCAGACACGACACTTTTACAACTGCTTTATTTTTTATTTTTTATTTTTTTTATCCTCACTTGAGGACATTTTTGCATTTCAGATAGAGCAGGAGGGAGAAAGAAAGAGAGAGAGAAACATCAATGTGAGAGAAACACATTGATTGGTTGCCACCCACACGACCCCAATCAGGGCTGGAGACAAACTGCAAACTGCCCTTAGCGGGAACCAAACCCGGGTCTCTCTGGTCCGCGGGCCTACGCTCTAACTGCTGAGCCAAACCAGCCAGGGCTTACTACTGCTTTACAATTTAAATCTCTTCAACTCAGTCTGGTCCTCGGATCATCAGCATCAATATTACCTGGAATCTTGTTAGAAATACAGAATCTAGAACCCCACTCCAGAACTACAGAATCAGAATCTAAATTTTAACAAGACACCAGGGACTTATATGCACAATAAAGCTTGAGAAACATGATTTAAATCTTTCCCTGGTTGAACTATAAACCTTTCTAAGATTCTTTCTCATCTCTGTTCCTAGAACACACATAGACCTGATCTCCTGACCCTGGGCTGGGTTCTCCCAACTGTGCAGCTACTCCAAGATCAGAGGAATGGCCCTGGCCGGTTTGGCTCAGCGGTTGGAGCGTCGGCCTGCGGTACAGACAGACCCGGGTTTGGTTCCCGCTAAGGGCACGTACCTTGGTTGCAGTTTGTCCCTGGCCCTGGTTGGTCATGAGGGTGGCAACCACTCGATGTGTCCCTTCACATCGATGCTTCTCTCTCTCTTTCTTCCTCTCTCTCCCTCCCGCTCTATCTGAACAAAAAATGGAAAAATGTCCTCGGATGAGGATAAAAACAAACAAACAGAGGAATGTAGCAAGCCAGTTGACAGCACTGGTCATTAAACCTCTGTCATTTTGGGAGTCCCACTATCCCCAGTTACCTACTCTCAGTAAGAGCAACAGAGGAACACCTTCACAGCAAAGCGGTCAGAATCATTCATGCTGCACCACCGCCCCCTGGTGGTAGTCTCCGGAAATGGAAATTGGCTTGATAAGGAGCTACTGCATTTGGAAAACAATTACTGTTTTCTATCGACATCACCCTTATTTCTTTAAATCATCAAAATCACTTTCTCATTCTTCAAAGAATCAGGCATTGACACAAATACACAAAACCAGGCCTTGATGTCAACCAGGCTCAGGGTTTTGGAAGACGCTGGGGGCAGTGCCACGCTCTATGCTGTCCTTTCCTTCCCGACCACTTCTGTGGCTGCTGCTTCAGTCCCTGGTACTCTTCAGTGCCTTTCCTGCATTCTCCCTGCCTCCACCCACTCCCCTGGACCTTAGGAGAGGGCGAGGAGTGGCCCATGTACCCTCAGCCATGACCTGGCAAGGAGAAGCTCCAAAATCAGAAACACCAGCTCAATTCTCCCAAAATCCAGTCCTTAGGCGGTAAATAATTTTTCAAATGTGGTTGCAATATTGACATTTTTAAAGAAATACCACAGTACAGCACTGTCAGTCTTCCACTGTGCCCCCATGGTCTCCAGATAAACACACAGCTTCTTTACTCTTCCAGGAAGAAGGAAACATTCAGTAGGGTATCTGGAATAGGAAGAGAGAAACTGTGACATACCACCTCTCCAGAGAACACGGAACATCACACGGAAAACAAACACACAGGCACTGTAAGGGCATCTCCACAATGCTTCCAAAGAAGTGAGACACAGGGAAAGAAAGAACGCGAGGAAGACATGAAGGAATAAGCCGAAACCAGTACCTTGTACCAGGTCTTGGTGTTCATCTTCTGAAATTCGGTCCCAGGCCTTGGGCAAAGCTTGGGTGTTTGCCAAGTCTCCCCAATGGATTGAGGACAGGAGGTACTTTCTCTTCAGGTAACTTACTGGAAGTTAAGGACTACTCAAAAAGAAAACGAAATACGTTGAAGGGGAAAATACCCCAGAGAGAGCTATAGTGAGCATAAACGTGAAGTGCAGCTGTCAGGAATTTCCCCAGGTTGTAGGATCAGCCCATGCTACAAATCTGTATCAAGCACCTCTTGACGCACATGGCTCTGTGCTACAGGGAGAGGAATGGAACACTGGCCCTGCAATCCAGGATCTCACTATGGTGCAGGAAAACCAGAAACAAAAAGAAAACCTACGGGACATATGAGAGCAAATTCAGTGAAGTTCAGGGGTTGAATTCATCCAGTTTAAAGGGCAGCAGGAAGACTACGGCTGGCAGGAAAAGCCTGAGCAAAGGCACAGAAGTGGGGAAGCCTGGAATCGATTCAGGGACAAGTAAACCTTCCAGTTTGGCTGGCACGGAACAATGTGCAGAGTAGGAGGAAAGGTGGCTGAGAAGGCAGGTTGAGCTGGAACACAAAGTGAATTGCAGCCCAGTGTAGGGATTCTGTATTTTGCCCTCCTCCCAACAGAAGCTGCAGAAAACTCCCATACAAACAATAGGATCAGAACTCGACCTTCTGAAGACACAAGGGGTGAGGGCACTCACTAGGGATGGCTGAGAAGGAAAACAGCTAGAGACAGAGAAACCTGCCTTGCTTCATGTGATTAAAAGTCCAAGTGAGAGGTAAAGAAACTATGAAAGAGACAGTGGGGATGGAGAAGGAAAACATGAAATGCACCAGAAAAATAGAATCAAAGGATTTGACAGGAGACTGTGTAAACATGCTCAGAACAGTACCTGGCACATAATAAGTGCTCAGTAATGTTAGCTGCAGCAGCTGTGGCTGCTACTGTTGCAATTAAAAAAGAAAACAGAGGGAAAGGGGGAAGATACTGCTTAAGTCTCCAGACTCGGTGATTATAGAGGGTTGATTCTACAACTAAAGGAAAAAGGAATAGAATGTGAAGGCTAGATAGAGAGTTCAGTTCTAAATTTGAGTGTGCTGGTCCATGAGCAATCCAGTTGGAGACATCGACAGAAAACTGAAAATCAAGACAAGAGACAAGAATAAAACTTGGATTTGGGAATTATTCAAATGAAGGGAGAAATTTAAGCCAGTGGGTAGATATGCGTATCAGGCAAGAATTGAGACAAAAAGGCCAGAACTAAATGATCTTTCCACTTCTACCCTTGCCCCACAGCACCCCAAGTCTTTTCTCAGAACAAAGCCAGGGTGGTCCTGTTAAAAACAGGTTTGACTATGGTAAACCCTTCTAAAACCTTTCCATGTCACCCAGAGTAAAAGCAAAAACCCTTTCAAAGACCCAAGGCCCTGTAAGATCTAGCCCAGTCTCTGACTACATCTAATGTTAGTCTTCCCCTCTCCACTCTCCTCTAGCCACACTGGCCTCCTTGTTATTTCTTGAACATGTCAGGCAATCTGTCACCTCCGGGCCTTTGTACCTGAAGTCTTCTCAAATGTTACTTTCTCAGTGAGGCCTGCCCTGCTCAACATATTTAAAATCATAACCCCACTCTCATCCCTCACTTTCTCTGCTTTATTTTTCTCCATAGCACTCATCTTCACCTGACATTCTATGTGGTTTCCTTTTTTATTGCCTATTTTCCAGCAACTCGAACAATGCCTGGCAGGTAGCAGCTACTTAGTAAATGGGTTGAGAAATAATTGTAGGAAGAACCAAAGTTCAGGAGCCAAAGAGAACCACACTATACAATTTTGTAATCCTGTGAAAAATAAAATTAAGACTTCCTTGGACTCCCCGAGGCACTATCTGTGCAAAGGATACGAACTTCGATAGTGTCTCTCAATATCTTGCAACCATTCCAACATGTCAGCCACAGAGGGGCTCAACACTGAAGCCTGCAGGACAGCATCAATGCCGAGCGTGTCTGCATGCTGTTCATAGATCTGAAGCACCTGTCCCACGTGGCTGCTGACAGTGTCACGCACCTTGAGGAGGGCAGCTCTGGGGGAAAGGGTCTTATATTAGGTATTGTCATGAGAAAGGCCTAACAGGGTTCCGAACTAACCCTTGGCACACTGACATTTTGGACCAGATGATTCTTTGTGGTGGAAGGCTACCCTGTGCACTGTAGGATGTTTAGCAGCATCCCTGGCCTCTACCCACTAGATGAGAGGACCAAACCATGCCCCAATTCTCTCCAAGTTGTGACAGTCAAGGATGTCTCCAGTAATTGCCAAATGTCCCAAGGGTAAAACTGCCTCCAAATGACACCCATTTGTCTAAGGAGATTGGTGATAGTGCCTTAGATGTAGGGGTGATGTAAGAAGTAAGAACTGACATATAAATGGAGAAAATGAATAAGTTACATGGCTCTCGAACCTGTGTGATCAGCCCAGTTACCAAAGAAAGTAAAGACCAAGGGGCCGCCCTGGCCAGTTTGGCTCAGCGGTTAGAGTGTCAGCCTGTGATCCAGAGAGACCCAGGTTCGGTTCCCGCTAAGGGCACGTACCTCGGTTGCAGTTTGTCCCCGGCCCTGGCTGGGTTGTGCAGGTGGCAACCGTTCGATGTGTCCCTTTCACATCGATGTTTCTCTCTCTCCCTCCCACTCTATCTGAACAAAAAATGGAAAAATGTCCTTGGGTGAGGATAAAAAAAAAGATCAAGGGGCCTGTCTGGGGCTGCCATAAAGCTATCAACAAACCAGCATTATCTACATGCTACCCAGCCCCATCCAAGTGAATTCTTTTTTTTTTTTTTTTTTTTTTTTTGGTATGTGTCCCTAGTGGGAACCAAACCCGGGACTCTGTGGTCCACAGGCCGATGCTCTGACCGCTGAGCCAAACTGGCCAGGGCTCTACTGAATTCTTGAATGGTAAAGTATAGGCTGGCAGTACACACAGACTCATATGGACTTAGGAGAGTTACTTATCCTCAATCATATATAAAACCAGTCTGTTTTGCTCACTGCGCATCCCAAGTACCTAGAACATTGAGACTGGCACATAGAACAACACTTGTTGAAAGAATAGAAAGGGTTATTGTGAAGATTAAATGCAGTAATAGACATAAAATGCTGAGAGAAGTTCCCAGCTTATGGTAAATATTGTTATTGTTCCATTGGAGACTCCAAGGGGCCCAGTCACCAGGCCAAAAGTTACCATTTCCCAAAGGGCAAGGCAATCCTTAGCTTAGAATTATGGCTTTCAAAAATGTCTGACCATGACCCACAATTTAAAAATAGACTTAAAATAGCCCAATATCCACACACAAATATGTAATCAATTGAAATAAAAATTCTTCGTCTTAGAATGTACCATAACATAATTTAACGGACTATCTCTTCTACTCAACTAAGCAACTAAATCTGGTTCTTTGTTGTATTCCCAGCACCTTGTGCTTGGCATCCCATTGGTGCTTAATCAATGTATTTTGTACAAATGAATACAAAGAAGGTCCCCATTTTTTACAGTTTTGTATTAGTCTAAGGCATATACTCTACACACTAGAACTGTCTTTTGCTCTGGTCAAGGAAAGGCCACATGTGCCCTGTCTTTTCTCTATCCTCATAACCTATTAACTCTGAGACAGAGTCTAACACTAGGCATAATGAGGGCTGACAGATGTGCTCCTCCGGGGTGCAGACACCAATGTACAGCAGACAAAGTGGTGTTTAAGAGCTCTGGCCTTGATGTCAGGCACACTTGGATTAGAATCGCAGCCTTGCTAGTTACTAGCTGTGAGCCTAGAGGCAATCTGCCTGGGCCTGTTTCCTCACCTGCAAAATGGGATGAAGTGCAGTTAAGTCACAGAGGTGCTGAAAAGATTTTATGCAATATTGTATGTAAAACCCTTAGCTCTGACACCTACCAAGTTGTTGTTTTTTTATCCTCACCCAAGGACATTTTTTCCATTTTTGTTCAGATAGAGTGGGAGGGAGAAGGAGAGGAAGAGAGAGAGAGAGAAACATTGATGTGAAAGGGACACCCGCAGACCCAACCAGGGCCGGGGACAAACTGCAACCAAGGTAGGTGCCCTTTGCGGGAACCGAACCCAGGTCTCTCTGGACCGCAGGCTGACACCCACTAAGTTTACAGTATACAGCTGACCCTTAAACAACATGGGCTTTCACTGCGCAGGTCACTTATTTGCTGATTTTTTCAATTGACCAGCACAGCTAAAACCTGCGTTGTTCAAGGTCTAACGCCAATGTTGGGAATCCAACCGTCCTTATATGTAGATTTTCCATTGTGCTGGAGGTCATTGCTACCCCCCCCCCCCCACACCCCGGGCTGTTCAAGGGTCAGCTGTAGTTCCTGTTGCTTTTTACAAAAAAACAAAACAAAAACACTAAAGGAGAGCTAATAAACACTTCAATGCTGTCTGTCTACGTTTTAGACGTCTACTAAGTCCACCACTGCTACGCCCAGCCTCTGACAAGGGAAATGCCAGAAAATGGGTGTCTGACCCAGGTCCCGCTGCCAGATGCAAAGGCGGTAAGGTCTAAACACCTCCAAATGCCATGCTCGCAAGGAAAGAGAAAAGCGCCTTCCCGACTGACCCCAGCTACTTCTAGAACACCCGGTCTTCGCATCTCTCCGCCAAGAAAGAGCGCCAAGGAGCCTCTTACAGCCTCTCTCCCAGCTTGTCCAGGGCAGTGTCGCCGGCCTCCAGCTGCTTGCGCCTCAGCCGCTCCTGTAAGCCCGGGAAGGCCCGCAGCGACGGCACGTCCTCGAACCGCAGGTTCTGCGCCGCCTGCAGCTGCTCCGCCAGGTTGCGGAGGGCGGCCAGCAGGGGCCGGCAGTCCGCCAGCGTGCTCTGCCACAGGCCCTGCTGCTGCTGCACCGCGAGAAAGCACTTCTTCAGGGCCGCCTGCACCGCGAGCAGAGGCCGCTCTTGCGTCATCTTCTGTTGGGGGGGAAACAAAACCAAACCCAGCCTTTGGGTCCCAGGTCGGGGGGCGAAGAACCGGCTCCAGGGTGGGAGTTATTTCCGTTCTCCGATGAGTTTCGGCTAAACCAAGGCTTCCTCACGAAGGGCTGTCTATTCGCTCCGACAGGCGCCCCTGGCGCGAGGCGATGTCTTACCTGCAGAGGGGCTCTCAGAAGGCGGGACCCTCGTCTCCCACCTCGGGAAGGGCTCCCCGACTACGCCTAGGAGGAGGCTCCTTGGGGGCTAAGGCAGTCTCCTGCTGCAGGCTGCGGATCCCTGGGGCCCACGCCCGGTCTTCCCCGCGGAATCGTCCTCTCCCCTTAGGACTGCCGGCCGCTTCCCTAAACCAGCGGGAAAACTTAAAAGCTTGAGGCCTTGCAAGTTGGAGTACCCGCCGGAGCCGCTAGCCTGGGCCGGCAGTTTCTCTGAGCGTATCCCCTACGCAGTTAAATCGCGAAAATTGGTCGTAACGCCGCGGTGCTTTCTGGGTATTGTAGTCCTGCGTGTGAGCCGGCGGCCTGACGCGGAGCTTCCTTGTGATTGGATGTCGCGGACCTCCTTCCAAGACGGCGACTTCTCATTCGTCAGCCTGTGGCAGTTTGAATTTCGTGACGGCGGTCGCGCGTCCTGATAGCCCCGGAGCCGCTCCCTTTTGGCTTGAGCGGCGAGGTTTTTCTCAGCCCTTATTTTGAGACCCGCAGGTACGTTCCTCGCGACTTCTTTACGCCCACGAGGCCTGTGGGACGCCCTCCTGCCCTCTCCCGCGCCTTCGCGGCCCTTCCTTCCCCGTCTCCGCCTCTGAGCCCTGGTTTTCCGCTCCCCGCAGCCGCCCCCGAAGCGCTATGGCTCCGGCGAGGAAGGGCAGCAGTCGGGTGACCAAGACCAACTCGTTACGGAGCCGGAAGCTCTCCTCCTTTCTTAAGGACTTCGACCGTGAAGGTAAGGGGCCGAGCCCTGTCGCCGCGGCCCCCCGGGGCCATCGCGGGGGGCGGGCGGGGCGGGCCCCGTTCACCCGCCGGGTGACCCCTGTTCTGTCGACTTGGCCCCATCGCAGTGCAAATACGATGCCGGCAGATTCAGTCAGACAGGCAGAACCTGCTCAAGGAGCTGGATAACGTGTACAACATCGAGATCCTGCGGCTCCCCAAGGCGCTGCGCGAGATGAACTGGCTCGACTACTTCGGTAAGCGCTGCGCGGCCCCCCGGCTGCGCCCCGGAGCCCCCGTGCCCGGGCAGCCTTCACCGCGGTCCCCGTGGCCGCAGGAAGAAACCGCGGATTCGGTGTTCCTGCCCACTCCGCCTCCCTCCCCTGCTTTGTTGGAAATCTCAGCACGTCCCCTCATTTCCCTGGCGGGTAGACCAGTGCTTTCTCTAACAGACCAGATGGTAAACATCGGAGGCCTTCTGGGCCAGAGGGTTATCCGTCCAGCTACTCCCCTGTGCTGTTCCGGGTCCAGCACAGCTGCAATGAATGAGCATGGCTGTATTTCAGTAAGAGTTACTTTTGGCCACGTTGAAATACGAGTTTCACAGACATTGCATGTGTCGGGAAATGATTTTTTTAAAAATATTTTATCCAGCCATTTAAAAGTGAATGAATCAATAACTTGGTCCGTTACCAAAACTCAGATGAGAGGATAAGGAAATTGCCAGTTTAAAACGGGCAAATCAAATTGTGAAGTGCAAGGACCCAAGAGTTTTCCTGGCCAGAGAAAAATCCCAGCATGTACCCCATCCCTGGTTAAATGTCCCAGGAAATGCAAGAGGCTGTCCTTTCTGCTGGGTCACCCTTACTTTTTTGATTTTCTTCATTATTAATTACCCAGCACGTAGCCTTCTTCCAGGATAGAAATGCACGGTCTGCTCAGATAGCAGACGTTTAGTGATCCTTTTGGCTCGCCCTTTTATTTATTTATTCTGTTGCTTTCACATTTCTACAGATATTTATTGAGCATGCAGCAGCCCCAATGCTAGGTGCTGAAGATGCTTTGGGGATTAAAACAGACATTGTATCTATTCACGAACTTACAAGTTAGTAGAGAAGGATCATTTTTTAAAATGACACGACTATATAGTTAAAGTTATAAGTGCTGCAAAAGATAGAATAGAGTAGTGGACAGTAAGCATATCTATATAGTGCTTCCTGTGCCAGACAGACATTGTACCAAGTGTTTTACATATATAGTAAATCCTCACTAACGTCTTTGGTAGGTTCTTGGAAACGGAGGCTTTAAGTGAAATGACAGATAACAAAACCAGTTTTACCGTAGGCTAGTTGATATAAACAAGAGCTAAGTGCCTAGGGCTTTTTTATTTTTGGCCACAAAAATATCACCAATTTTATAAATAAAGACCCAAAACCCTTCTAATTTTTTAAAATTATTATTATTTTTTTTTTTTAGAGAGAGAGGAAGGGAGAGAGAGATAGAAACATTGATGTGAGAGAGAAACATCGATCAGCTACCTCCTGCAGGCCCCCTTTTGGGGATCGAGCCCGTAACCCAGGTATGTGCCCTGACCGGGAATCAAACCTGGACTTCTCAGTCCATGGGATGATGCTCAGTCCACTGAGCCACACTGGCTGGGCAACACTTCTAATATCAAACATTAAAATAAGTGTGAGCTATACATACATTTAAGAAAGATTACTAAAAGCAAGTAAGAGAATTACTATTTCACAACCCATTTATTCCAATTCAGGGTCACAGGTGGCTGGAGACTCTTCTGGCACAAGGCAGGAATTGGATAGGACACCCTTCCATCCAGGGCACACTCACACACACCCTGACACTCACTCAGACTGGGACAATTCAGACACATCAGTTTACCTCACATGTACAACTTTGGGGTGTCGGGGAAAACCAGAGTATCTGGAGAAAACACACACACATGTGCGGAGAAAATGCAAACTCCACAGACAGTGGCTCTGGCCCAGAATCACACTTTTTTTTCTTGTCAATGTTATAATGAAACAGTGTTGAATGAAAACTACATGATTCAAGGACTTGCTGTATTAACTAATTTTATCCTGATAACAAATGTATTGTTAGTATTATCCCTGTTTTATAGACACCAGGATTAAAACCCAGAAAGATTGGTTACTTTGCTCAAGATTTCATGAGCTGTTAGTGCATAGGCGATTTGAATGCAGGCGTATTCTGATGCCAAAGCCTGAGTTCTTAATTATCATACAGGGTACTGTGAGAGGTTCTAGCAGGAAGACCTAATCTAACTTTTTATTCTGTATCTAACCTTTCACAGACATCTTCATTCAACACAAATTTACTAGATACCTAGTGTATGTCATATTTTGCTAGAAACTGGATATTATCTCTGTCCTCAAGGAATTCAGTTCAAGACAGGGTGGACACTGAAACTGCTTTGAGTGGTTGTTGGGTAGGGTGAGGGTGAACAACTAACTCGGCACTTTGCGGCAATCTGCTGTAACAGACAAATAAGCAGAGTTTGGGGTTTGAGCTGAGTTTCAGAGGATGAATTAGAAATGTGTTGGGTGCAGAGGAATGTTTTGAGCAGAGGAAATAATAAATACCAGGGCACTGAATCACGAAATATAAATGGCGCATTTGGAAAACAACAGGAACTTTATGGTGTGGTAGAACATAGACTAGGTCATGAGAGGGACGAGTCAAAGTTGGAGAAAGATTAGATTATGAAGGTCCTTGAATGTTGGAGCAAGGGTTTAATCTGGTCCAGTTTTTGAAAGATAACTGGTCATGGGAAGATGATTTATCATAAAAACCTGATAGTAACTGAACAAAATGTTCTTTTTAAAGCCCTTGGAGGAAACAAGCAGGCCCTGGAAGAGGCAGCATCGGTAAGTGACTTGTCCTATTTTGGTTTGTTGGTTAGGTTTTTTTAATTTGGGTCTGTTCACAAAATCTAACCAGAGGGTGCTTACTGTAGAAGAGGTTCTATGGGGAATTTTATCTGTGTGTGTCAACTGAGAAATGACAGTTAAATTTGAGTACATGAAGCACAGATAGTTTCGAGTCCTAGGAAGGGAGGCAGTTCGGTTTTGGGCAGGTTCTTTGCAGCCCTTGCCCTGACCTCTGCAGGAGAAGTACAAAGCTTAAAGTCCAAGTTCCTTGAAGCTCCTAAGTCATTACAGTGACCTGTCCTGCTTGGTGGCAAAGAGACTTTATCGTGTCGTATCATAGAGGCTGTGCTCTTGCTTGGGACTCTCAGGATTCCCCACCCTCTCTCACCTCCTTCCTCCCAGCATCAGTACCAGTAAGATGAAAGGCAAAAAAGTGAAGAGTTAAATCTAACTGTCTAAATGGTATCTACCAGCCACATGTAGCTACTTACATTAATTAAAATTAATAACATCAAAAATTCAGTTCTTCAGACACATTAGCCACATTTCAAATGTTTAGTACTCACATGTGACTAGTGGCTATCCTACTGGACAGATCAGAATTAGAACATTTCCACCCTTGCAGAAAGTTTGGTTGGACAGTATTGGGAGCTGGTCCTCAAACAGGCTTCACAGAGACCTTAAGCACTCTAAGATCATGTATGGACAATGTGTGTGTGTACATCCATTTGTGTACCTTTCTGGGGAGAAAGTTTATACTCCGTCAGATTTACAAAGTGAACCCCAAAATCCACATCCTTCTATGAGCTGATCAGGATCATTTAGAATCTCAGAGTTTGAAGTGATCTGACTACAAAGGGTACATAATAGTGGATCTCCACCAGCCTCAGACGTTAAAGGTACTTAGCAGCCAGTTATTCAGTCAGGGAAAAAATGAAGTTTGGGGTGAATATTTTAGGAGAGAGGTGGGGATAACCGAAACATAAAATCAATAACTAGTAATACATTCTTGATCCATGCTTGCTCTTTCCTTGTGATATGTTCCCCCCATACATACCCATATCTAAGTTTCAAAAGACTAGGTAGATTATACTCATTAGCTGATGCATTGCCCTCTTTAGATCTACAGATCAGAGCTTCTAATGTAACACAGTTTAAAATCCAAGAAAGGGATGATACTTTGGTACAAAAGCTCTTAATTGTTAAGTATGTAGGGGGCTTACAAGACTGTCTCCGGGACTTCACTAAGAGGACTCACAGTGTTCAGCATAGATATGGTAGTACCCCTTGACCACGAGGGATATGTTCTGAGACCACCCCTGGATGCCTGAAACTGAGTATCGAACCCTTTATATTACTGTTTTTTCCCCGTACATATGTACCTGTGATAAAGTTTAATTTGTAAATCAGGCACAGTAAGAAATAAATAATAACTGATAATAAAATAGGATAATTATAACAATATTCTTTAATAATAAAGTTATGTGAATGTGCTCTCTCAAAATATCTTATTGTACTGTATTTACCTTTTCACTTAAATGAAGCCCTTTTCCAGCTCTCTTTGGCATATCCAAACTGCCCACATCACTACTCTTGTGCTGGGGGCCATTATTAAGTAAAATAGGGTTACTTGACCACAAGCACTGCCTTACCGGTGACCTGATAACTAAGATGGCTGTGAGGGACTAATGGGCGGGTCGCATATACAGTATGGATATACTGGATAAAAGGATGACTCATGTCCAGGGAAAGAGCTGGATGGTGCAAGATTTCATCGCCTACTCAGAATAGCGTGCAATTTACTTGTGGATTATTTCTGGAAGTTTCCATTTAATATTTTACCAGTTGACCACAGGTAACTGAAATCTCAGAAAGTGAAACCATGGGGGGGGGGGGGGCGCTGCTATAGTCATACTCTGCTATGATTATTACAGTGAAAGGATACAAAGCAGCACAACAAAGGGAAAAGGTGCATGGGGCAGAGTCCAGAGGAAACCAGACTCAAGCTTCCAAAAGTCCTCTCTCAGTGGAGTCACATAGGACACACTTAATTACACGTTACTTACCAGAAAAGCTCATTAGAGACCCCATGCCCAGGGTTTTGCTGGGGGCTGGTCACATAGTTGTCTTCTGCCTAGCGTGCCAAAATTCCAGACTTCCAGAAGGAAAGCAGGTGTTCAGCATAAACCATCTTGTTTGTACAAATCTTAGGCATAGGGACCCACTTTTTTTTTTTTTTTTTTTGATTAATCTTTGTTACAGATGATTCTCCTTTTTTCCCCCACTGATTCCCCCCTCCCCCTCCCCTCCCTGCCCCTCCCCAGATTGTTGTCCATGTCCACTGTTCATGCATACATGCGTATAAGTTCTGTGGTTCATCCCTCCCCCACCTCCCCACTCCTTAGGGGATTGTCAGTCTGTACCCCGCTTCCGCGTCTCTGGGACTACCCCATTCCTCAAACTGTTATGTTCATTATATTCCACAAATAAGTGAGATCATATGAAATTTGTCTTTCTCTGTTTGGCTTGTTTCACTTAGGATGATACTTTCCAGGTCCCTCCATGTAGTCTCAAAGGATAAGAGATCTTTCTTTCTTACCGCTGCGTAGTACTCCATTGTGTATATGTACCACAGCTTTTTGATCCATTCGTCTACTGATGGGCCCTTGGGCTGTTTCCAGATCTTAGCGATTGTAAATAGTGCTGCTACAAAGATGGGGGTACATATATTCTTTCTTATTGGTGTTTTATGCTTCTTAGGGTATATTCCTAGAAGTGGGATCACTGGGTCAAATGGAAGATCAATTTTTAATTTTTTGAGGTGACACCATATTGTTTTCCATAGTGGCTGCACCAGTCTGCATTCCCACCAGTAGGGACCCACTCTTACCAGGAAATAGGGGGAACCCTGAAATCCAAGTTCTAGTGCCAACCACTGGCCAACCATGTAAACAGGTCTTTCCATGGCCATCAGTCTTAGGCTTGTTAACTCTTCTGTTAGGTGATCAGTGGCTTGCCACCAGTGATACCTTCATAACATGCCAATTGGTTCTAGAAATGGCAGACAGTTGACCATCACTTTCGTTCCATGAACCATAGTGGACGTCACTAATCTGTTACAGCACTGTTTCCTGCTGAGCCTGGACAGCCTGAGAATCCACTCTGAGCAATCCATGTAGTCCCACCAACCCAGAGATGAAACCTGTGTCATTCCTAGTCTGTAATGACTATTCTGATCTATACACATGCCCTATGAGGAAAGGCCTGTGAATCATGCCTGCTCTTGACTAGTCCCATACATATGGGTAGTCACCAATGAGAAGAAGTTTAATTGAAGGGCAATTGGAGCCTAGCTAGTATGGCTCAGTGGTTGAGCATCAACCCATGCACCAAGAGGTCACCAGTTTGATTCCCAGTCAGGGCACACGCCCAGGTTGTGGGCTCAATCCCCCATGGGGGGCATGCAGGAGGTGGCCATTAGATGTTCTCTCTCATCAATGTTTTTATCTCTCCTCTCCCTTCCTCTGTAAGATCAATAAAAAAAAATTTTTTTTTAATCCTCACCCGAGGACATTTTTCAATTTTTTGTTCAGATATAGTGGGAGGGAGGGAGGGAGAGAGAGAGAGAGAAAAACATCAACATGAAAGGGACACATCGAGTGGCTGCTACCCGCACAACCCAAACAGGGCCCGGGACAAACTGCAAATGAAGTACGCGCCCTTAGTGGGAACTGAACCCACTAAGTCTCTCTGGACTGCAGGCCGATGCTCTAACCGCTGAGCCAAACTGGCCACGGCAAGAAAAAATTTTTTTTAATAAAAAAGGGAGGGGTGGCAACTGGAGTTTTTGCCAGTTTATCTCAGTGGTTAGAGCATCGGCCGGTGGACCAAAGGATCATGGATTCAATTCTGGTCAAGGACACGTACCTGGGTTGCAGGTTTAATCCTCGGCCCCAGTTGGGATTGTTCAGGAGGCAACCAATCAACGTGTCTCTCTCATATCGATGTTTCTCTCTCTCTCTCTTCTCCCCCCTCCTCTCTCCCTCCCATCTCCCTCCCTTTCACTCTATTTAAAAATCATTGGGAAAATATTCTTGGGTGAGGATTTTAAAAAATGGGTAGGGAGGCAACTGGAAGCTTTTTTGAAGGGCCCAGGAGCACAGTAGAAAACCTTACTGAGCTCTGGCTGGTTTGGCTCAGCGGTTAGAGTGTTGGCCTGCAGACCAGAGAGTCCCGGGTTCAATTCCTGTTAAGGGCACGTCCGTCGGTTTCAGTTCGTCCCTGCCCCAGTTGGGGTCGTGTGGGTGGCAGCCAGTCGATGTGTCTCTCTCACGTCAATGTTTCTCTCTCTCTTCCTCCCTTTCTCCCTCCCGCTCTATCTGAAGATAAATGCAAAAATGTCCTCGGGTGAGGATACAAAAAAAGAAAATGAAAACCTTATTGACCATCTAGACCATTGGTTCTCAACCTGTGGGTCATGACCCCTTTGGGGGGTTAATGACCCTTTCACAGGGGTTGCCTAAGACATAACAGTAGCAAAATTACAGTTATGAAGTAGCAACAAAAATAATTTTATGGTTGGGGGTCACCACAACATGAGGAACTGTATTAAATGGTTGCGGCATAAGAAGGGTTGAGAACCACTGTTCTAGACCTAAAAAGAGAAAAATGAGAAGTCTGACACAGCACCAGGTGTTATAGAGAATGTTGGTCATCAGAAACTTGCATTGTTTGCTGATGGAATGTAAATAAGTATTTACATTCGGAAAATAATTTGGTATAATGTCAAGGCTGAACATTTGTGTACCCTACAACTCTATAATACCCTATCCCTAAGGATATAGACAAGAGAAAACTTGGACATATATGTGTGACAGTTTAAAGTAGCAGTGTTTGTGCCCTGATCGGTTTGGCTCAGCAGTTAGAACGTCGGCCCATGGACCAATGAGTTGCGGGTTCAATTCCTGTCAAGGGCATGTACTCTATTTAAAAATCATTGGGAAAATATTCTTGGGTGAGGATTTTAAAAAATGGGTAGGGAGGCAAAAATGTTTGGCCCTGGCCCTGGTTGGGGTCGCACAGGAGGCAGCCACTCAATGTGTCCCTTTCATGTCGATGTTTCTCTCTCCCTCTCACTCTGTCTGAATAAAAAATGGAAAAATGTCCTCAGATAAAATATAATAATAATAATAATAATAATAATAAAGTTGCAGTGTTTGTAATGACAAAAGACTGGATAGGAGATTGGACAAATCCATTATGATAGAGTCACACAATGGGATATTATATAGCAGTGAGAAAAGATTAACTACAACCATAAACAGTGTTCAGAAACAAAACCAAACAAAATATTATTTAAGCACATATACATTTGTGAAAATGTGTATATACACACCCACATAACGCGCTTTCTTTCAAGCCAGTGGAATAATGATGGTTAGGTCTGGAGAATGACAGAGCTAGAAGACTGTTCACCTTTGGGGAAGAAGGAAATGGAACAGGAAAGGATACATAGCTAGGAGCAAGTTATTGTCAATGTTTTGGGGTTTGGGTTGTATGGTGGGTTTGTGGGAGTTTATTATACTGTGTCATAATTAACGTAATCTTTTGTATGTATTAAATGATACGTTTAAAAAGTAATTGTTTTTCATTTTTAAATATTGATCCTCATATTTGATGGAACATGCCTACTGTTTTCTGACTGTCACAGGCTGACCTGGATATCACAGAAATAAACAAACTAACAGCAGAAGCTATTCAGACACCCCTGAAATCTGCCAGAAGTGAGTACTTTTCAAAATCTCTTGTTGAACGAAGACAGCTGAGACCCAGGGTGGTTTGCTGGCTAGGCAGGAAGGCCTCACTAATGGAGCCTTTTCCCTCAAATGTGTGGTCCTCGGTCTATAAATCACTCATATGCAAGACCGATACTAACCGAACTCTCCAGACCAATGTGTGAGTGAAAGTGAAAGGAGAAACACAAAAGCTGGCTGGAAACCAAACATGCTGTCTGCGTGCTTCCCCTGAGTTGGAGAGGTTAGCAAGATTTATAGACGTGTTACAAGACACAGCCATACCAGCTGCGACTCTCCCTGATCAAAGGGCTGAGAGAACTGTAGAAAGACTAACTTTCTCAGCACATTAATTCCATGTCACTTGATTCAGTGACCCATCCTTGTAAACGTCTCTCACAAATACGCCCCACACTGAGAAACACTGTCTTATAGGGAAGATTCTGGGGAGGCCGGGTTATAACTAGTGAGCATGGAATCAGGCCAAGATGTGCTCTATTATGGACTTGATGCCGCTGTCATTAAACTTTGGCAGCTCAGTGCCTCCAACTCTTGTGAGGCTGTCCTGGCCATGGATTTCTCGGCTTCCCACTGTCCAGTTTTCACTCCAACTTGGCTTCCATCAGAATTGGCTTGTAGTGTGAAAAAAGCGTGATGAGATTTTTGCTTTCCAAGTGTCATATTCTAGTTCTGCCTCCCGGAGGTTATAATGTAACTAGACTTGGGTGTTCCTAGAGTTTCTCAGCCACATATTTACAATCTGTTGGGTCACTTTGGGATATTTCTACATGTAGGTAACATCTGTTTCTCTTGTAAGTTCCACCAGTTTTGCTTACTTGGGGGGAGGGATGTCTTCTGATTTCACCCCTGGGAACTGAACCCACAGGAATCAGTGTCAACAAACAGGACCAATTGTTTTACCCACTGTATTTGACTGCATGGTAAGTTTTTTTTTTTTTAATGCAAAAAAGCTTAAAAGTCATTGAGTCTAAGCTGTGTCCCCCTATGATTAAATTAGAATGTTCTCTATGGAATCCCTGCTCAGGATTGTCTAGCTCCTGGCTGTACATATTTAGCAACAAGGCGCTTTGTAAGTTTTCCTGTGGCATCTACCTAAATAATATTATAATAAGTAATAGTAGTTATCATAAAATGTCCAGTATTGTCTAAGGGGCTTCATTCATTCCATAAATACTTAAACTTTTATAGGGGCAATTCTAGGGTTTGGGATATAGGAATAAAAGCCCACATTCCAAGTCTCATAATATCCCTATAAAGTGACTACTCTCTTTTATGGATGAGGAAACTGAGGTACCACCATGAAGCCATATGACCTATTAGTGGTAGGGCCAGGCCTCAAGCTATGTCCCACTCCACGGTCTACACCCTTAATCAGATCACTGGGCTGACCTACAGGACATCATATAGGGTTTCTTAAGCACGCCAGTTAGTTTCCTTTGTCTAAACCCTCTTTTAAAAAAGTTGTCTTTATATTGGGTCTGTTTCTTGCTTACAGCCTAAGATAGCTTAAGTTTTCTTTCCTTTAAGAAATGGGAATGCATGAAAGTTTATTCCCATGAGAAATATCACTCTATTAAACTGTTTCTTACAGCACGAAAGGTAATACAAGTGGATGAAATGATAGCAGAAGAAGAAGAAGAAAATAAAAATAAGAAACTTCAAACTGCCAAAGTAAGTAGGTACTCAGATTTAAGGCCGTGGGCTGACAGAGAGGAAATACAAAAGTACATAAAATGCAGTGTTGCTTTCCCAGAGTTCACAGTTTAGTAGAGAAGATCTCACTTAAGTGGTTAATAACAAAAGCGATTATAGAAGTTATGTACAAAGTGCATAGACGTAGAAGAGGAAGCTATTAAGTCTTACTTACCCCCTTAGGATACAACCAGGCCTTTAAGGTGAGTGAGATTTCATTAGCTGGGAGAGAAAGGGGAGGGAATTCCCGGAGGAGGTATGAAAGTGTCCATTTAAGGAACTGGACGAAGTTTGAAATGGCTGGGATGGAAGCTGTGAGGGTAATTTGGGTAGACTAGGGGCCAGATAATGAATGGCCTTGTGCACCAGACTTGGAAGTTCAGTTTCATCAGGTAAGTAGTGGTGAGTGACATCACCAGATGGGTATTTCAGAACAGTATTCAGGGTAGATGGTAGAGGGCAAAGACTGGAGAGAAGGAAACCAGTAGGGAGGCTGTTGTAACTCTTGAACTGAGCCTCTGACCCTATCAAAGGAGATGGTGTTGAGATAAGATTTAAAAGGGAGAATGGGCAAGATTGGTGGAGGGAAGGAGAGGACCCAGAGATGACAAAATGGTTTCTAGCTCAGGCAGCTGCCATCCAGAGGCAGGGACACAGGAGGAAGAGTGGTGCTGGGTTCCGGCGAAGGGGGCAGTTCATGTGTCAACTGTTCGACCAGCTGAGCATTTAATACGTCTCTGGGACATGTAGCCCAGACAGAAACTTCAGCCTGGAGCTCAGGGAAGAGGAGATTGAGTCACACTGACTCCCAGATCTTTAGGTGGTTGTCCCAGTCTGGCGTCGGGGCCGTGCAGGAAGAGCACGGACACGGGTGAGAGGGAAAGGAGCTCGCGAGGCACACTGCAATGGGCAGCACAGAAGCAGGGGAGGTGGGTCGCTCTTGGAAGGTGAGGGAGGAAGGAGAGAATCTATCTTCAAGGGATGAGGACTGCTGAAGGTGGGTTCCTTGGGTTGGGCTCTGAGATGCCATTGTGACCTTTGCAGTGGCATTTTATGTAAGTGGGGGTTGGGGGGTTACCAGCCAGGCTGCAGTCAGTTCAAAAGACATTTACCCTTAATCTTGGCCAAATCCTCAGGTTTAGGAACCAAGCCAGGTATAAGGCCTTAGTTGATCAATATTTTCTGAAGTACTTAGGTCTGCGAGATAGACTTCTTATGTTCGATATTAGGTGTCTTCTAGAGCTGGTTCCCCTGTCCTTTACCTTTCCCCTTTGCAGGAAAGGCTTTTTGTAACCTCAGTTTCATCTGATTGTGGCTTCAGGTCAAAAGGTGCCCTCCATCCAGGAAGAGAACCCAGTCCATACAAGGAAAAGGCAAAAGCAAAAGGTAATGGGGTTTCCAAATGTAGCTGGTGTTGTCAGTTTTATCGGAGAGCAACATTCATTGTGGTGGGACTAGGGAGTGAGGGCTTCTTTGGCTCGTGGCTAGTAGAGCATAAAGTCATCAAATCCTTACGTGCCTGAACTGAGAGGCCTCTAGAAACGATCTGGCCCAACACCTCCTCCAGTTCTTCTGCCCACATTCTTTTTCCTGCTCCACTTTTTTCAATGCAAACAGGGAGACTGAGGCCCAGAAACATGTGGTAAGCTTTACAGATGCTCTTGGGTTGCCTGACAGTCCATGTGCAGAGCTTCCCCATGGTCAGTCACAAAGTAGCTGTTACTGCCAACAGTTAGTTTCTTCAATGTTCCTCCTGGTCCTAGATAAAGCATCACCATGGGCTTAACCTGATTCTGCTGGACCCTACTAAACCATTTGGTAGTGGGGGCTACATCTCAAACAAGCTTAGGAAAGGCATCACGGGGGTGTCTGTGAAGGAGTGGAGCCCTCTCAGTTCTCCCTGAGCAGTGGTAACTGCCTAGCAGGAGGACAAGAACCCCAGCTGGAGGCCTGCAGCTGTTGCGAGGCTGTCTCCTGCCGCTCATTCTGTTAGCTTGATGGAGGAGTTGGTTTATGGAGGTTGACTGCTTGGGTCCAAAGTTCTGGCTCTGTCCTAATTGGCTGTGTGTTATCTGGGCAAGTTATTTAAGGTCAGTTTGTTTCTGTATCTGTAAATGAGGATAATAATGGTACTTCTCACAGGGTTGTTGGGAGAGTACACGAGTTTATGTAGGCACTCAGGACAGTATCTAACAAGGTCCGTGCTCTCCGAGTGTTACCTGCCCCTGCTCCTTCTGTCACTGGACCTGAGTGGCCCCCTAATAGCTATTTCTTACCTGTAGGTCAAGCAGTTATATTACCCCAGCTATGGGCCGAATGGAGATGTCTATAGTGAAACCCACTCCAGGCCTGACACCCAGATTTGACTCAAGGTGAGTATTGAGAGGCCTTGGGTTTGGGTGGGAGCCCAACATTTAATTCAGACAAGAAGAGTGCCTAGGACTGAGCCTCTGAGCAGGTGTTTAAGAAAATAACTCCTGATCCTTCACCTGGGCAGCCCTCTTGGAGGAGGGTGATGGGCTGGGCTTCTGGCTGCTGTTTGCCTCTCCCTTGAGTGCAGGTTCACCTGTTTTAGTAACAAGATGGTTCTTTATCTGATGACAAGAGCATGGTCTCTGGTGACCAGGAGGCTCTAGTGACTTTTGGTCTGTTCTGATTCTAATCAAAAGGTTTTTGTGTTTGTGTGTTTGTTTTTAATGGGTAGGCTTTCTCTTGTACCCTTGGGGGAAATTGACATCCTCCTTTGGGAGATCAGTATAAACAAGGCTGTTCTTGCAGCATAAATTTATCCCTTCCCTAGGGCTGATCAACTAAACAGGAAATGCTGTGCAGACATTTAAAGAAAGGTCTGCCCTGCCTGCTGTGGTTCAGTGGTTAGAGTGTGGGTGGTGCACTGAAGGGTCACAGGTTTGATTTATGGTCAAGGGCATGTACTTGGGTTGCAGGTTCATTCCCCGCGTCCCCCCCCCCCGCCCATCCCCTTTCCCCCTCTCCCTTCCTCCCTCCCTTCCACTCTCTCTCTAGAAAAAACAAAATCAATGGGAAAAATGCCCTTGAGTGAAGAGTAACAAAAAGGGGGTGGGGGGAGAAGAAGTAGATCTGTATGCTGATGGGGGCAGGGGAGCAGCTTCAGGATTATGAGCACCTCCAAGCACTTGCTACACAGTGTGTCCTAGATGGTCCCATCTGCTTTTGCAAACATTGAAAGTTCTGGGAGGGTGCATAAGGAATTGAATGGTTATCTCTGGGGTGGAGAGAGTGAGGAAGACTTACCTTCTGCTTTTAATTCCCACTCTTCTTTCTCTTTTTCATGAGCATATAGATAAGGACACTTAGAAGAAAATAGGTAGCAGCACTGTAACTGTCTTGAGAAAGTTAGTTTGGGAATTCATATAATGATGTTATCTCTGAATCCTCCTCCTTTGACCCTAGAAAATTCCTCTTGAGAGAAGCACTTAGCTACTCTTGGAAATACATTAACCACAGTTTATTTCTGGATGGATGGATGACTGGTGTTCATGCGGAGCTTTGAACCTAAAATTTACATGGATAAGAATTGATTTTTGCTAGATGTATGTGTATGTTTGATACTTCCACTCTCCCTTCTCCAGCTGTGTTTAGTCATTACTGCTTAAAAAGACTTCTCCCCTAAATTTAGAACTTGCCTTTTTAGAAATGTGTGATTTGAAAAGTGCAGCTTGAGGCCAGATGGGGTTTGGAAGGACTGGTAGTGCCCGGTGTCTTGCAGTCTGCCAAGCCATTTTTACAGACATTTTCCCACGTTCCAGGGTCTTCAAGACCCCAGGCCTGCGAACTCCAGCTGCCAGAGAGCGGATTTACAATGTCTCAGTGAACGGCAGCCCTCTGGCCGACAGCAAAGAGGTTTTCCTCACTGTGCCAGTGGGAGGCGGAGAGGTAAGTGTTTCAGAGGGAAGCCAGGCCACCGTGTGCCTTGTAGTCAGCATTTCTTTCCCTGGTCTATCACCTATTTCTGCCCCCCAGTGTCCTTTTAGTTGCATGGATCCTGATCTCCACACTTGTATAGGACTCAGAACCCAGTTTGCTGTCCCAGACTAGAGACCCAGACTGGGAAGATCCTCGCCCAGCGCTGGGTTCCAAGTGTTCATCCGTTAACATTTGCGCACCCATCTGTAGCAGACCCCAGATGTAAGAGACATTCCTCCCCTAGAGAAGTAGTTCAGTAGTCAAGACAGGTTCACAGTTAACTATACTGTCAGCCTGTGATGTGTGAAGTAATGGAGGTGCAGAGTGTGGGGGTATCTCAAGGTGTGTGTGTCGTCTAGGAGGGGGAGCATGCGCTGTCTCCTCCACTTTGTCTGCCTTGCAGGGTTCTGAAGCGGGTTTCTCTGGGCTGAGTAGAGAAAGTTGCTGACCTCACGTCCTGGGAGGGAAGGGTGGTTTGTTTCAGGTATTGTCTGCAGAACACTTCTAAGCTAATGGGCATACTTGGTACCCAGGTGATCTAGCCGCTGGCCCAATGATGAACACTAATGTCACTGTATCCTTAGGGACACAGTGACAGCCTGGGTCCTGCCTGCCTTGCCTCATCCCCCAACCAAGTGCAGGACACAAAGGGGTCCCCCTGGGGTGCACTGGGCTGCTGGATGGAGGTTCCTGCTCTGAAGGACATGCAATTAAACCAACTCTCCCCTCCACACAGAGCATGCGATTATTGGCCAGTGACTTGAAGAGGGTTGACATCGCACAGCTGGATCCAGAGGCCTTGGGGAACATCAAGCAGCTGTCCGTAAGTCTCCCACTCTTCTCCGTGCCGGGACTGCCTCCAGTAGCGCTCTTGGCTAGCTTCACGTGGGCTAAGGCTCTGTACTTATGGCCTTTCCCCCCAGGGATTTGGACTGTTGTCCTGCTTAACCTGGCAGCAGTTCTATCCCTAAATTGATGTTGAGTTTTGGTCCATTCCAGAGTGCCTGCCACAGAAGTTCCGCAACAGAATCAAAATTCTGCCTCCTTCAGGCAGTTGGTGCCTACGTGTTAGGGCACAGTGGGCCTCTGGGAATTGAGGTTTCCTCAGTTCAGGAAGACGGTGGCTCGTTAGGAGGAATCCACAGCTCAGAGAAAGCACTGAGCAGCCAGGCCTCCGAGGGCTGGGACTGTCAGCGACAGGAGTGGATGGAGCTCCACGGTGGTGCACCGGCCCCTTTAGCTCCTCTGTCTTCGGGGCCCGTGCACTTTGTCCTTCCTCCTCCTCAGCAGATGGCCCTCTTCACAAGGCTTTTGTTTCTGTTCTTCCTGAAGGATGGTTGGTAGGTGGCTTTGAGTAGCCACACTTCCCACTCTAACTATTGCTCCATTGCTCCACACTAACTGTCCAGTTTCTTGTCTTGTTTAAATTCTCAAGAGGAAGAATTGAATTGGCTTGGCTTTGGTCACATGCGCCTCCTGGTCCAGTCAGCATGGTCTTGGCTGCTGGATGGAGCACTGAGAGCACCCGTGGCTGCCGTAGGCCCACCCTCTCGGGCGTCTGTGAAGGGCACATCTGAGGGCGGGGACCGGGGTGGGCTGCTGTGATCACACAGCCAGCCACCTGAATCTGGTGACATTCATCATCTAACTGGACCTGCAGCATTACTCTTCCCCATAATCTTCACTCTCTCAGTTGAGATGTTATTTTGCTTAGTTCAGGTGAGAAATGGAGATTCAGGAAGGTGAGTTAGTTTGTGATACAAATGGAGAATGGAGGGCTGAGGTTCCCTCAGGCTGCCAGATCCACGTCCAGTTCCCTGAGCGGACCAAGAGGCTCCCTGGACAGCACACCCAGGGCCATCTTCTCTCGCCGACCTGTCTCCTTTTCTCTTTGTAGAGCCGTCTTGCCCAGATCTGCAGCAGCATACGGACTCACCGATGAAGCTGCTGTTCCAAGAAGCAGACTTGGCAGGGTGGGTCTTCAGTGGGCACGTCTGGGATCTTCCTCCCTTCAAGCGTACTGTCTGTCTGAGTGTCGAGTTCCAAAGCAGGAGTGGCACTCCTCTTGGAGAATTCGGGAAGTGGGGAGACACTGTTCCCCCCAGTTAGATAAAGTTTTGCCATTCACACCTCCCAACCCAGGTGACAAAGACACTGCCCACTGTGTCCACGCAGTCAAACCTCCCTGCTGTTCTCCCTGCCGACTTCCTGCTCGCAGAGCTGCCCTGCTGCCTCCTGTGACTCAGCAACCTCTTTGCCCTGCCTGACTCCAGTGGAGGTGACACGGAAGCACCTCATGTTCTTGGGAAGACTGCCTACTCGCCCTCATCAGAGAACCCTCTGCATCTGGTGTTTCTGCTTCGTGCATGCTTGAGGCTGGGAGGTTTGGGCTCAGAGAAGTGAGAGTTCTGGGCCATGAGAGGGCAGATCCAGAAAGCTGGGAGGAACCGTACCAATGGGGCCAGGACAGCCGAACAGGACCTGTCACAGCACAACACACCTCCCTTCCCATACCCATCGCCTCCTCCTGTGGCATCTCACACCTGCCATGCTCAGTTTTTTCAGGCTGACTGTGGAACAGGGTTTTGTGTTTATCTCTTTACCGAAGACCAAAAATTACAGTGGCACAGTGTCCATGTCTTGCTCCTCTACCTCTCCAGTTAGTGGGATTTGGGACACGGGGGTCGTAGGGCTTAGACTAGTCTGGGATTGTACGTGACTGGTGCAGAGGAGCTCTCTAAGCTCTCCGTGGCTCGGTGGTCCCTAACAGGTCCGCAGGCTAAAGAGGGCACTTCTCTTACTGGCTTCGCTGTAACTGGTCTGGTGGCCTCATTCCACGTGCTGGCCAATGCCCGCCTATGCCCTGGGCATGGACTGGTTCCTGGGAGTCAGCACCGAGATCCTGTGCACCAGCCAGTGCCTCTGCCCCAAAGAATCATGGGATGTGGTCCAAGAACACGGGAACAGAGAGTTCCCACCCCAGGCTAGAGGGCCCACAGTTTCCCACGTGTGGCTCTTTGCTGTGCTTTGTATTATCTTGCTATGTGACCATTCTAGTAACCCAGTCCTGTTTAAGTTGTATCCTTTTCAAGTTGAATTCTCCCTTTCTTGAGACTTTCTGTACATAGTGTTTTCCTGAGGAATGGCATTTCTAATCTGATATTTTCTAATCAGCTACTGAAAGGTACCTGTTTTCAATAAACTGTGGGTTTGTTTTTATTATTCAGCCCACTGTCATTCCCAAGCTGTGCTCGCTGGCCTGGAGGCAGTTTGGGAGCTGAAGCTATCGGAGTGGGGCGTCTTTGGACAGCTACTGTGCTCAGAAGATGTGAAAACCTTTATTCTAGGCAGAATCTCTGACATCTAAGAGGGGGCCCTCACCCCAAGATCCAGGACATGGGTAACCTACCCCAAGAAGTGTTTCCCCAACACCTTTGTTCTGTGAGCTAGAATTTACATCAGGGAGGACAAAATCTAGGGTGTCTATAGTTTGTTTACCTGTACAGGCTAGTCTCAGGCAGGACAAAGCAGGGGCGCAGGTAATCAGTGATCATGCTCCTCCCTCCCAGAGTTCTGGGGCTCTGGCAGGTCTGCTTTCCCAGAATCCTTTCTGCATGGAAAAGGATCCGCATGGAAGGAAACAATCTGGGTCATTCCTTAGCTTGGTCATCTGACATGGACAGTTTATGAAGAAGGACCTTTTGGTCAGTGACAGCATATGGAATAAAGGTTACTCATGTTAAGTAATTATGTCCCCAGACCTGAGATTTTTCTACCTTTTCTGTCATCACCTGCTAAGTGTTAGGGAGAGCCTGACATCAAGGAAACCCAGGATCCAACATGCTTGACTCGGAGCCAGGCTCACTCGATTTTGCTCTGTTTGTACCCTGTCCAAATGAACCCAGTTGCAGGAAGTGTGTAGTACATAGCAGGTGCCTAATAAGGGCTAGTCGCATGGTGAAGACAGCAGTCCACCCCATTCGAGGGCTGGCTTGGGAGGTAACGAGGTCCCCATCCCAGATGTAAAGCATGGGCTGAACTATCACAGAGCTGGAATGTTGCAAAGAAACTTAAATCTTACTGCCAGGTCAAAGGGTAAAAGCGGCCCATAGACATACATTCACTGTTTTTTAAAATTAAGAATTGCCAAAGTTTGCCCAGCTGGTGTGGCTCAGTGGATTGAGCGTCGTCCCATGGACTGAGAGGTCCCGGTTTGATCCCCAGTCGGCGCATGCCGGGGTTGTGGCTCCATCCCGGTGGGGGCGTGCAGGAGGCAGCCAGTCAATGTGCGTCTCACATCAATGTTTCTCTCTCAAAAAAATCAATAAAAACATTCTTTAAAAATAGTAAAAATTGCCAAAGTTCACAAAAATGATTGCTAGCCTCCAAAAAAAGTAAAATCTGGCAACAGGCACCAGAGTCAACGAGTTGAGTAGCAGTTTTCTTTGGCCCTTCAAAAACCCTCTCCATTGAAAGCATTTCCTGCTCAGTGACTTCCCTTGGTTACCTGCCTCGTGCCTGTGGGCAACTGACTGCCTAAGCAGAGGTGCTCCTGCGGGAAGATGGGGCCTGGAGCGCCCCAGGCAGTTCCACAGGATCCTGGAAGAATTTCAGTTCCGTTTCCTTCTTTGCCCTACAAGCCCCTGCTCTTTCCAGAGCCCTACCTGGGGCTTCCTACTGAAAGAATTCCAAATGAATTGCCCTATGCGGAGTTAGGTTAAATTATTCCTAGGAAGAGCGTGGGGTGTGTGGGATAGGACATTACCTAAGCATTGTTTACTCACGGCATCACGTACCTTTTAGCTCAAAGGAACTACTGTCCCCATCTCCGCCAATGATGATGACCACGTACACACAGCTTACCACGCTTTGTCCTACACCCCTAAAAAAACAAAGTATGTCTCAATGTCCACATGTGCACAAGCCCTGATAAGTGTTTCTCCTTCTCTAATTTTACACGATGACAGTTGACCCGAACCTAAAATTTAGCATGACACCAAAGATTTAAAAGGAGAAATTCATGTGGCTTCGGAAATGCACAGAGACAATGAGAGCCAATCAGAACCGGGCCTACATGGAGCTCCCACCTAACGGAGTCTGGAATCCAATCTGCTTTGGCTAAGGTGCCTTCTCTTTGCCTTCTACAAGGTTAGGCATTTTCCCAGCCCTTAATCCCCCCCCACCTGCCTCGCCTTACCTGGAGAACAAGTCCCCTCGCTCTCCACTCCCTCCCCACCAGCTGTAACCCACACTTCTTGCGTTCTATACTATCGTCTTTCCCTTAGTTGATATTAGCATCTATGTAGTTGGCATTTTCTGATCCTCGGATGATGGCTGTGATGGAGCCCACAACGTACCCTTGGTACCAGGACACCAGCAAGAGCCCAGCTCCTCACCGCAAATTGGCAGTGCCCACAAACACGTTATGTGCTGCAATATGCCAGAAGCCATCGAGATGGTCACAGATGACAGCCTCCAAGGAGACACCCTTCAAATCTGATGCAAAGATCACACTGGCAAACGTACTGTTCTCACCTCTCCTAACAGTGGCCCAGCTGATGGTCAAAATGAGTGTGGTGGCCCTGGCCGGTTTGGCTCAGCGGTTAGAGTGTCGGCCCACGGACCAGAGAGTCCTGGGCTCGGTTCCCGCTAAGGGCACGTACCTCGGTTGCAGTTTGTCCCGCACCTCTGTTGGGGTCATGTGAGTGGCAACCACTTGATGTGTCTCTCTCACATCGATGTTTCTCTCTCTCTCTCTCTCTCTCTCCCTCTTGCTCTATCTGAAGATAAATGCAAAAAAAAAAAAAAAAAAAAATGTCCTCGGGTGAGGATAAAAAAATTAAAAAAATTTTAAAAATGAGTGTGGTGGTGAAGGGAGAAGGGGCAAGATGGAGTCTAAGTGGGAAGGTGTTTGCAATGGGGAAAAACATTTTTAGTCTTTCTCTTAAATTTACATAAGCAATCTTGTTCAGGACATATTCCTTGCCCTGGAGTATCTAGAATAAAAATTAGTCTTCTGCTCTGGCCAGTTTGGCTCAGCAGTTAGAGCGTCGGCCCGTGGGTTGAAGGGTCACAGGTTTGATTCTAGTCAAGGGAACATACCTGGGTTGCAGGATCCTTGGCCCTGGTCAGGGTCATGCAGGAGGCAACCAATTGATGTTTCTCTCTCACATCGATGTCTCTCTCTCTTGCTCCCTGCCTCCCTCCCTTTCACTCTCTCGAAACAAATCAGTGGAAAAATAACCTGGGGTGAGGCTTGAGATTCACGTACCCATGATCTGTTCACCAAATGCCAGTGGCAGCATGAGGTAGTCCGTGAACAGGAGTTTCTGACTTCTGTCTCTTGCCCCAAGAGCCCAGGGGGACCAGCTACCAATATGGGGTAGGATGTGTCCTGAGAGGCTAGCAGAGTTTTTTCAACTTACTGGCGGACACTCAACTACATGGCAAAGGGCACGGAGAGACTCAGAGAATGCCAAGTGGGGAAGAGTTTTATTCACGTCCTGGGCAGTGTGATGGGGTGATGTAAGGAACTGAGTCCAGGTTAGTAAGGGCAGTGAATTAATTCCCTGTCTGGTTCCCCCAGGCCCTTCTCACCTCCCAGGAGCTAGGTCAAGCACAGCCCTCCACTGAACTCCACAGCACCTGGGACGTACCCCCATTGAAGTGCCTTTCATGCTTTTTACTTGACTGACTCCCCATTAGACAGTGAGGTCTCCACTTCCTAGCAGGTACTCGTGCTCGATGAATGTCCACTGAATGAGCCGAGGCCTTGTCAAGCCAGTCGGCAGCCTGTGCCTGGAGTTTCAGGTCTGCCTACAAGAGGGGTGCCCCTGGTCTGCCCGGTCCTGCAGGAAGCTGGGTGCATCTCTGGCTCAGCCTGGGACTCGCTGGGTCTGACTCAGGGAAATGGCGGGAAATGCACTCGGACTCCAATACACCACCTCTCACTATCAGATACGTACATTTTACACAGTTTTAACATCTCTGGAATTGGGATCCACCTTCCCACCGGATGGCGCGACAGTTTCCCCGGCTGTAATGTTCTTGGGGCGCGCCCCACCCTCAGCGGCGTCCGGGATGCGGAGAACATGGTAAGCAACGTTCCGGGCGGCCCGTGAGAGCTGGTGTCTGGAGCTCCACGGCCCAGGGGGTTGAAACTCAGGTGGCTCCGGCACAGGAGGAGAGGGGTGTTGCTGGCTGCCACCCTGCCACCCCACCGCCACCACTAAGCACTTTCCGTGGCCTGGACTAAGCAGCTAAATAAGACACCTCTAGACTGGGAACATGAACAGCCGGGCCAGGGAGAGCAGCAGCACTAGAGAGCCGAACAAGGAAAGCAAGGGCTCACATGGTACAAGTGTGTGCATGTGTGTGAACATGTGTGTGCGCACGTGACGTGTGTCCGCACACATGAAGACTCAGGCAGTTCCTCAGCCCACACCCCTACTCCACCCTGGTAACTGTCTCACCCCACCTTACTCCCTCTGCAGCCCCCCTCAAATGAGCCCCAAACTCCACTCCTCAGTCCCCTCATCTGGCTCTGCCCCCCTCAAATACGGTCCCTGCTAGGGGTTGAGTTGTGTCCTCTCCCAAGTGCACATGCCAAAGCCCTAACCCCAGCACCTCAGAATTGCCCATATTTCGAGACAGGGTCTCTCCAGGTGATCGAGATAACAGGAGGCCACCAGGATGAACCTACGTGGCCGGTCTGACACGACTGGTGTCCCTCTAGGGAAAGGGAAATTTGGACACAGACACACAGAGAGGGAAGATAATGTGAAGACACGGCGAAGACGGCCACCTTCACGCCAAGGAGAGGCCTGGAGCAGAGCCTCCCCTCAGGCCTCACACCAGCTCTGAGCCCAGCCTCCAGAGCTGTGGGCGATCCATCCCTGTTTAACCGTCTGTGCTCTTTGTCCCGGCGGCCCCGCGGAAGGCCTGCAGTCCCCGACAGCATCCGTGCTGACAGCCACCCTGCCCGCCTCTTCTCCCCTGGCGTCTCTGTACGCAACATCCAAACTCGCTCTTCCTCTGGCTCGGCGGCCGGACTCCATCCCGGCCTCTCTCCACTCTGCTTGTTTTCACCCAGTTGCCTCCCAATGTCACAGTGTCCCCAAAGCTCCCCTCCCCTCTGCTGCAGCCCAGGGCGAGC